ACAAAAAAGGAAGACATTTGTAAAAAGAAAGTTGAAAGAGAGAATGAAGAAGGTCAGGGTTCCCCCCCCACACACAATGCTTGAAGATCATTCAAAGCCATTATATTCTCCACTACCATGTGTATATGAGATCAGAAAAAATGCCACAAAGTCCAGGAAGAGACTGGAATTAAAGATGAGTTGAGAATCAAAGCTGAACAAAAACTGAGATGCCATTAAAGACAAAAAGGCTTCCTTTGAGAAGAGAGGGAAGATTTTTACTTAAATTAGGTGGACAAGATAAATGTAGAATTTGCCAGAAAATATATAAGCAGTCTCTAAAGAATTACCATAAGTAATATTTGAGGAGCATGTGACAAAGGACATTAAGGATCATTAATTATATGCTAGAGGAGGATAAGGAACTAGAAAAGAAATTGGATAAATTTTTGCTGTTGACCTTGGTGGAAGTTGGGAGGAATGTAGGAGAATTGCCTGTCCCTGAGCTGTTTTTTTCCCCAGGAGGGAAAAACTGAATAGATAAATTAAAATAGGCAGTGAGCTATGACATTATAAGCCAGATTGCCTAACTACATATAAATAATTCCTCAAGTCCTGTTGGTTTCCACTAAAGAGCTTGAGGTCTATTCCTGAGGATTAGAAAGCAGCCAGTATGAATCCTGATTTTTTTTTTTAAGTACCAAGGGATGATACAAGAAACTATGGGCTAGTTTGGATTAATATTAGGGGGGAAAGATGAAAATAATTTTTTTTAGGATGCACCAACAAGCGTTTAGACAATATTGACATAGCAAATGCAAAATATTTTGATTTTTTAAAAGATTCTAACAAAATATTCTTACCAGAGATTTCTTAGCAATTGCCTGGGATAAAAGGGCAGATACCCCCATGCAATTGACAACTGACAATGATTGATCAAGAAAGACGTTTTGAGTCACAAGGGACAGTTCATTAAAGTGTCAAAATAGTATGTAGCTGTTATTAATAGACCAAATTTACAAATCTGTGGTGGGGCTGTGTATAGTTCTGATCGCTTCATATTAGGAATACTACAGAGCTGTCTTAAACACTGGTTGCAGTGAAGCAACAGTAGAAAAGAGTTATTACACTCCATTCTTACAAGCTTTCTAGAGTCATCCACTAAGCCACTGTGAACTAAAGAATGCTGGATTTACACATGATCCAGCAATGTTTTTATGTTAAGCATTTTGGCTTGAAAAGTAGAGAATAAATGCTGTGATGCCATCATAAACTTAACTCAGTTAAGTTTACATGTTATGCTAATCCATGGTTCATTTATGGTTTATTGAATAACCTTAATCAGATGAATTTAGGCTGGACATTAAGTTTTAAGTCACACATTACAAGTTAAAATGGTTGAGTTCACATAACCGTTGAGACCAGAATTGAACAACCCACATTAAAGTGTCTAATTGTCATGTAATTTATGCCTTTGTATCTTCTTGTAGTACAGATGTTGCTGAAATACAGCTACCCTCATTCCTCATCATTAGCCATGCTGGCTGGGCTTCTGGAAGTTCAGCAATAATTTGAAAAACACAGGTTATTCATCCTTGTACCTTCTCTCTATATGGATGTAGAAATTAAATCACACTGAATGGATAGTAGATATTGACTCCCAAGGTCATTATAAACACCTGGGGATAGCAAGCTTAGATACTAATAATTCCTGTCCTTGATTAGGCGGGGAGAAGGAAAAGGGGGTGGTACTCTTTTACTGACCTCTGAAATGATAGGCTAGTGAAGGCATAAATGAGGGAAATTGAATCTGCTACTTACGTGGGATTTAGATGCAAGGCAGCCACAGATGAAATATCAGAATTAGAAGACAAAGTTGTTGGAAAAGTGGTTAAGGTTTGTATAGTTCTATTTTCTATTAGTGTAGAGAATTAATGGGAATTGACTTTACAAATGTTGACTATTTGTGTGGCCTGCTTTTTTGAAAAAGAAACCTTTAAGGAGAGGTAAATGTCATACAGCTGTATATCTATTATTTAAAGTGCTTAGGGTATTTTTTACTATTTAAAAAAGATGAGTTTTATGTGAGTCATTCAAAATAGAAAGTGTTAAAATTATATTGGAAAAGGTAACTTTCTTCCTCCCCCCTCTTCCAAGTTTGGAGGGGCCACAAATATTTAAGCTTGCTTTCCGAAAAGCAATATTTATTTCTCTTCGCTTTCCTCCCCCATTTCCCAGCACAATTCTGTGGTAACATCTGTTTTTCTTAGCTTAACTCTCACACTTCTGATGTTAGTAGCAGTATTCTTGATTTTTTTTTTAATTTTAGAGTTTGACAGGGCTGGTAGATATGCATATCTTACCAGATGCTGTACAAGGGAGTGAACTTTTTTTTTTTTGTCTGTGCAGACTTTTCATAAGTATGTGAATGGAGGAGCTGGGCTCACATCTAAAATGCATGAATCCAGCACACTTTTTTTCATTCACCTTCTAACTGGAACAAATATCAGGTACTCCTAAGCTAGTAGCCCTGTGGTCACTTTCTACTGTATAATATATTTTTGTTCCATAGAGCCAAGCCATAAGAAATGTATGTTGCAAGGTTAGAAAATGTTGAAGAATGATTGCAGGATAGTTTGGAGAATATTTTCTTTTATTATTTGCATTGCTGTATTAATTTTTCCTCTGAGAAAAAAATGTATTTTTATTTAGTCCATTTAGCTACCTGATTGTTTACTCCCTATCTGCCAATGGAATTCAACATTTTCCCTTTGTCTACTTCTTTTCTGTACTGTGCAATGGTTTTTCACAAATATGATTGATGGTACACATGGGTGTACTATAGATGCAGTAGGAACTGGCAATGCTTCTGAATTAGCCTATTAAAATCAGTCTTAAACCAAAGAGGACTCATTTCAGATTGGTTCAGTTTACACAGCTATAAAATGTGCTGCCACTTCAGGTGGATGAAAAGAACCTCCCACACTCAAATGTGCTTCCATTCCTTTTTTTTTAATCATCTGAGGAGCTCCTCAAAATTTCCTGCTGAACTTAGGCAATGGGTTAGTTTTTACTTAAGTGTGAATTTCCACTTTTTAAAAATGTAATAACTGTATAGGTGTATGGCCTCTAATTGGTTTAATGGAACTATTGTAATAACTATGGAACTATTTTGTGTACTAGAACAAAAAAGACAGATGTTACATGACAAAGAAAGTAAATCTTAAATTGTTACCATTACTGTATTATTCAATATTGACATAACCCATGTCTAAATGGAATGAAATAATTTGGTTTAGTAAATCAGAGCTGAGTGACATTTGAGGCCAAGAACCTTACATGGAAATGATATGGTAGTGTCATCTGAGAGGATAGTAGATATTCAATTTTTTTTTAAACACAGTATTCCAAATGTGTTCTCACCAGAGCAGTGTAAAGTGGTACTATCACTTCACGTGATTGTGAAACTTTCTCTCTGTTGATGCAGCCTAGGACTGCATTGGCTTTTTTGGCAACAACAACAGTGAGGTTATTGGCCTCAAATGTCACTCAGTTCTGATTTATGGAACTAAATTGTTTCATTTTGTTTAGCTATGGGTTATGTCAATATTGAATAATATGGTAATAGTAACAGTTTTAGGTTTTGTCATGCAACATTGAGGTTTTTTTGCTTTGGACTCAAGAAAGTTCAGCAAACAGTTATTTTTGAATGCTTTTGATTGTGATAGAGTGTAGGCCAATATTTCAGTGATCACTGCAGTACTTACATGATTATATCCCATATGCTCAAGTCAACTTAATTTTGTTTTCAGTATATATTGAACATTATTAGACTACTATTCATGTCAAAGTCTTTATGATGATTGGTTGGTCATTGGAAATACCAACATACAGGAATATAATAAAAGTTATTAGATGATATCATATATAGGAAGGATAACCTTCTATCCAATATTTATGTGTTCCTGAACTCATTTTATTCATTTTTTCTCTTCAAATTATTTTCTTCTTTAAAAAAGAGGTTGAGACCCTAGAAAGAGTACAGAGATGAGTAACAAAAATGATAAGGGATCTGGAGCCTAAACTGTAGATGAACAATTGATGGAACTAGGTATATTTAGTCTAATGAAGAAAAAAACTAGGGATGATATGATAGCAGTCTTCCAATATTTGAGAGCCTGTTACAGGGATGAGGGAGCTAACCTGTTCCCCAAAGCACCTGAGGACAAGACAAGAAGTAACAGGTGGAAGATCATTAAAGAGTGATCCAACTTAGAACTAAAGAGAACTTTTCTGACAATGAGAACAATTAATCAATAGAATTGCTTACCTCTGGAAATTGTGGGTGCTTCATCACTGGAGGTTTCCAAAAAGAGACTGGACAGCCACTTGTCTGGAATGGTGTAGGGTCTCCTGCTTAGAGTAGGGGATTGGACTAGGAGACTTCAATATATTATTCTGTGTTCTATATTCAATTCATTAATTACATTGTGCAATCTTGGTGAATCTCTTATCGCCTCATTTCTAAAGCCAACTGACACTAACCTCTAATGTGTCAGAGTAAATACTATGAAGCCCATCATTTTCAAGTGAGAGTGACTCTTTAAATAGTTTCTATCTCAATTTGGCAATTAGCAGTTGACTTCCTGGCTCTCAGTTCTAATGGTATTATTAGGACAAAAACCTCTGTTCTTTCTTTAAATGAGGATGGTAAATATGGCATAGAAGTAAGTTAGAGGAAAATCTTAGGGACCTGGAAAATGGAAAATGTCCCAAGCCTGGGGAACAGCCAACCAGATTTAATGATATTTCATTAAGTGTAACAATCTGGCAGGGCATGTATAGAATGAAATGTACATTTCATACAAAAACACAGCAAGAAGGAGGTGATTAGGAATTGCACAACTGAAACACCATAAACTAACTTTGGTATCTTGCTGTGCAAACAGAAATAAACAGAAATTGCTACCTATTTAAACTCTTTTCTCTCCCCCTCCCACTTCCTGTGCAATCAGGGTGAAGATTACATAGGCATATTTCTTTAACCTGTAAAAGCCTATCTGATCTCCAAGCTGGCGATGTCAAGGGTACCGAGTCCTCCTCCTCCGGCAGAGATGTCAAGTGGACCTGTTGCTGAGAGCTGGTGTTACACTCAAGTATGCCTGCACTTTGGAATATCAGCTAATGACTGTATATCAGCTGACATTTATTTTCCTCTCTTTGAATTGGATTCAAGCAAGTGTTTTGCAGAGTGACAGAATGTCAAAATAACTGAACTTGTTGAATTGTAATATTTGTACATAATTGTTATGTGTACAGTAATTGTAATGGGAAAGTGTGGAATTCCCAAATTCATATATTGTTCCTGCCAGACTTCTCAGGGATAGATGGTAACTATGTGGTCATCCAGAAGCTATGCTAGGTTTTGGTGATGGTTCCAATCCAAAGAATCTCTGGCATATATAATAGCATGAAGATTGCTGGAAATTCACAAAAAGCAGACTTGCAGAGCATGAAGCCATTTTTTTTGTTGTTGCTTTTCCAACAATAGTAGATTTAGAATAGCTAAGGCATCCACCCAACAAAATCAAAGGGGGATCAGATTAATACCTTTGTGCCCATCTTTGTTTTGGATAGCGAATTTTGAGGACCTCATAACTGGAACATTACACAAATATACTTTATACTGAAACAGGAAAGGTCCAATCTTACAGGTTTGCTTTTTATATTTCCTCTTAACTTTGACATTTATTATATTAACTGTGCCTAGAATTAAAAATACATACAGGTAGTCCTCAATTTACAACAGTTCATTTAGTGATGATTTGAAGTTATAACAGTACTGAAAAAATTGCCTTATGATTGTTTTTCACACTTATGACTGTTGCAGCATTGCCATGATCACATGATCAAAATTCAGACATTTGACAACTGATTCATATTTATGATGGTTCCAGTGAGCCAGAGGCACGTGGTCACCTTTTTTGATCTTCTGATAAGCAAAATCAGATTAGCTGATAAGCAAAGCAAGATTCGTTTAACAACTTTGTTACTAATTTAACTGCAGTGATTCATTTAATATCTGTGGCAAGAAAGGTCATTCATTCATTCACGTTTATTGCAATCAAAGACCAGAGACGGTAATAAACCTGAATGGCAAGAAAGGTCGTAAAATGGGACAAAGTCGCTTAACAACGGTCTCGCTTAATTTGGGGCTCAATTGTGATCAGAAGTTGAGGACTGCCTGTACCAATTATGTTAGCAATTGTTATGCTGCAATTCTTTGTGCATGTATTAATAATCATTGTAATCAGAAATGATCTTAATACAAGCTTAACACCAAGTTAAACAAAAGACTCTGATTCCATTCTGGAATCAAGATACATGAAGCTATCAAATTCTGCTCCTCATGAATGCAAGTACAGGTAGTCCTTGCTTACCAACAGTAATAGGGACTGGGAATTCTGTTAAAGTGATGTGATCATAAAATGCATCAACATCTGACCGTGTCGTCTATGATGGCAATCCCAATTCCTGTCATTATGTAAAAGCCACGTGGCATCAGTGCCCCATAATGATGGGACAAACTAGTCCTTGTTGGAAGCCAGTGGCGAAGATTGATGATCATGTGACCCCTGTGATTGTCATAATTGCAAGCTGGTTACTAGGGACTTGAATTGCAGAATTGACCAAGGGGGCTCTGTGATGGCTGCAACTATAAGGAGTGCCATCATAAATTTGAACAGTCAGTAAATCAGAGGTCATTAAAAAGGGCTCCTGAAAAAGAATTCAGTAGCAACAAATCTTTTCTCAAAGCAGATATATTCCTGCCTTTTCCACCTAAATTAGTATGGGCCAAATATACTAACTTAATAACTCTGTAAATGAATTGTAAGTCAAATAATTTTCCTACAGCCTTTGATAAACAATGTATTATAGTTTCTTGGATAGGTATCTATGATATTTTAAGAGGATGGAGTTTTAAATGTATTTTTCCTTCATTCTTAAATATCGGGGGATTCTTTTTGGTGGACTTGTTCTTTGTAACAATGAATGTAAATTGCAAGCCAATACTTCTCTTCTCTCCCATTCTTTTTAAAGATTAAAGTGGTCAAATTTTCCTACATGTGGACCATCAATAACTTCAGCTTTTGCCGAGAGGAAATGGGCGAGGTCATCAAAAGTTCAACATTTTCATCAGGAGCTAATGATAAATTGAAATGGTAAGGACCAACTAAATTCCAGATAGGGAACAGCAGAAGGTTCAATTATTGTTACGTGGTTGTCAGAGTTATACCTTAGCTTCATATTCACTTATAGCCATTGCTGAATTTATTAATGTTCCCTTTCAGAGCTGTCGCCTGTAAAAATGCAACAATAAAACACTGGATTGATAAAGTTGGTTTTAAAACAGTTGAAGAAAGAAAGTACTGCTTTTACTATTGAGTTTTAGTTACATTTGTAAGTGTGGCTTAGCAATTTCCTATGATCAACTGCAAGAAATCAAAATTTCATTGTTTAATAGTCTGCAGACTAAAATGTAAGAAGCGTAATAAAACACTTTGTAATTCAGGATATGATTTTTGAAAAGAAAACAAACAATCTGTAGATAGAAAGTTGTTTCACTATAGCTGAACCTTTATATAGAGAAAATGAACATGATTTTTCTGCTTTTGCAGGTGTTTGCGTGTGAACCCAAAGGGTTTGGATGAAGAAAGTAAAGATTATCTTTCACTCTATCTTTTACTGGTCAGTTGTCCAAAGAGCGAAGTCCGAGCCAAATTCAAGTTCTCTATTTTGAATGCAAAAGGAGAAGAAACAAAAGCAATGGGTATGGATAGCTAGTAACTGGGTACTTATATTTTACTCATACCTTAACAGAGCAGAAAATAAAGACTGTTTTGTGTGTCTTCAAATTTCATTGTCTGTCTGTCTGTCTGTCTGTCTGTCTGTCTGTCTGTCTGTCTGTCTGTCTGTCTGTCTGTCTGTCTGTCTATCTATCTATCTATCTATCTATCTATCTATTTTTTTAAAAAATGCCAACCTCTTTGTATGTTGCCAGAGAGCCAGAGAGCCTATCGGTTTGTGCAAGGCAAAGATTGGGGATTCAAGAAGTTTATTAGAAGAGATTTTCTTCTGGATGAGGCAAATGGGCTCCTTCCAGATGACAAGCTCACTCTCTTCTGTGAGGTAAGATATAGAATCTCATGGTTTCATTTGGGAAGGTGTTCATAAAAATAGTTTTGTTGTCTCAGCTCCTATCATAAATCTAACTTTTCATCATAAAGTTGGCCTGTGAGGGTTGGAACTTCAAACATTTCCCTTGTGGCTGAAGGTTTGGATGGATCAATTCTTCTGGAAGAGTTGGTTCTTGAAACACCTATTATGGGCTTTATAGGTTATAACCAGCATTTAGAATTTGAATTTTGGAATCTGTTGGTAACCAAGTAATCCCTTACAAAACTGACATGATATGGCATGGTAGCTCTCATCCATTAGCTTGCTTGTTGCTGCGTTTTGTACCTGCTACAGCCTCCAGGTAGTGTTCAGATGTAAAAAAAAAAAAGTCAAATCCTTGTCTTAAGCAATTTTTGACAGTTTAAAAATACAGACCTGATTCACAGACAGAAAAAACTTGCATTGACTGATTGTTGCTGCTAAGGTGGATTTGGGCACATAAGTAAGTATTACACCATACACTCAGCTAATTCCTTCCAGCTGGAAGTTCCCCAGCTGTTTAGGGGAAACATGTTTTTGTTTTGTTTTTGCTGCTTTACAAACTTGCTCTGAAGACTCAGTGACAAGACTTGGTGAAGGAAGAACTATGTGAATGCCCCATTCTCCAGTACGGGAGATGGAGAATTCACATGTGGGTTTTCATTGGATGCCTGCTCTTGAGACCAAGTAGTCAAACTTGACACGCCCCCTCTTGCTGATCCAGTCTTTAACTTGGTCTCAGCTCTTGACGACGTGTCTAGGTTGGCTCTCAGTTAATTGCAGGTTAGAACCTATTGTGAATTCTCCCTTTCCCAAT